TCTTGCTCATATCTAATTCCGACATATAATCGAGATCTAGACATAATGCATCACTTGTTAGTATTTCGAAATGAATATATAAATGAAAAAAAAGACGAGATCGATTAAAATCTTGATGTAATTGAACACAGTCTCGATTTGCAATGCTGATATAATTATTAGTCTCACGAAGGAAGTTCCCCCACTGATTAATCACTTTTGAGTCGATACGATGTACATAATGTAGATTCTAATGAGCTATGAATACCCTAAAAAAAGCGTTCGGATCAGCGGCTTATTGCTATGGAGATACTGCATTTTTAAGGTATTTTTTTAAAATGAATATCATGCTATAGCTGTATCTCAGGATAGGGACAACGAAAAGATGTGGAACTTTCACAAAAAACTATTCTCATCAAGGTTTGTCTCTGTGCAATCGAAATTCGGAAATCAGCTTTCCTGATGTTTCTGAAGGGAATCACGGTATTCATTAAAAAACTACCGTAAAAATGTAGTATATCCGTAGCAATGAGCCAATAGCTCGAACTCTTTTCGGGATATTCATAGTTTATTAAAATATACATGATGCACATAGTCTCAGCTCAAAAACGATTAATCAGTTGTGAGAATTCTCTCATCAAACTAGACTTCAAGTTTGAGAAGGTATACCAATTCTTACAATTGCTCTAGATCTAAGCCATTGTGTTCATATTTTTATATCAATGAAACCGTTGTCAAGAGCTACACCCTTTGATGAAGTGAATATAAACTTTCGAAATAGGAAAATCCAATCTCTAACTGAATGTCGCATTTTTGGTCCGTCACGAGTTATATATTAAATATTGATTATTATAATACTTAAACAGTCTCATTGGATTATGAGTATTCTATACAGGGAACTCGATATATGTATAGACTCGAAAGGGCATGCACGCCACCTGAATATTACTCATAATAAAATCAAATTTCTAAGATAAGAAATATCACTTAGAAAAATCTTTCGATCTATTATCCTAGTTTTTAATATTCAATCTTGTTAATAATTCAACTTAAAAGTTAAATAATTCTAAAAAAAATAAATTTATGCAGATAGAAATGTGAAATTTATTTTTATTATTTAAATTCGATCCTATCAAATGATATACTCATCTTCTTTTATGATATTTCTATTTGAATATTTCTGTTCGAGTAATATTTATTTCATATTAAAACAAATAAATTAAATTTATATATTTTTTCTTTTTGTTTTAGGTATTTCAAGTTGAATTAGAATATTCACTTGCATTTCGTTTACTTATTTATCGTATTGATACTACAACAAAAAGTAATACTGCTACTTCTAATAATAATAATACACAACGTGCACAATGTATTGGTAAATTTCATCGAAATGTATGTTTGACCATAAAAAAAATTATTTTTACACAAAAAAAGAATTTTTGTAATATTTTAAGATTGAAACTGCATTACATGAATGTGAACGTGATCTAAATGGAATATTAACAATTGAATCACCATCTAGTGATTTAAAATTAAAAATTTCATTAAAATATTCAAAACGTGAAGGTACATTTAAAAGACAAGGATCGAAACGAAGTCTTGCCGTATTTGGAAAAAGTATTGAAAAATTATTAAGTACACCAAATGGATGGTACGAATACATATTCGAACGAAAAAATTCAATAAACTTTCTTGTTTGTTTTTTAGTATCGATGGTATTCCTCGTATAATATTAAAATGTATTGAAATGGTTGATGATGAAGGTTTAAAAGAAACAGGTATCTATCGTGTTTGTTGTGTAACGTCAGATTTACAAAAACTTCGTCATCAATTTGATCGAAATTATCATCGTGGTGAAGAAATGTTAGCTGAAAAAAATGTGCATGTTGCAGCTAATTTATTAAAATTATTTTTTCGCGAATTACCTGAACCGTTATTTACAAGTACACTTTATACAGAATTTTTAAATGCTATACAATTAACAGATATTGATAATCAACATATTATATTATTAAAAACACTTGAATCATTACATCCTGATAATCGAAAAATTTTATTTTATTTATTAGATCATTTAATACGTGTTAGTCAATATTCGGATATAAATATGATGCATTTGGATAATTTAGCAGTAGTTTTCGGACCAACATTAATGAGACCATCAAAATTAATTGTAACAAATCATTTTTCTGGTAGTAATCAACGTTTAAATTCTATTGGAAGTAATGTACAAACAGATCTTGATCAAATGTCATCAGAATTACAAGGTTCAATGTATCAATGTCAAGTGGTACTTGCTTGTTTAAAATTACGACGAGATGGAATATTGAAATGATTGATTTCAGTCTAGAGGGTTTTTCTTCTTTCTTTTACAGTGAACGAATGATAGACAAAAATATTGCCGTATTTTTTGTTTTCTTTTTTTTTCTATTTGGCTTCTATTTGTTTGTATCCAGCAGTGGCACTTACGTTTTTTTTCTTTTTGCTAATGTCGTTTTTTTCAGTTTATCTTTTTTTTTTCTTTGTTTATTTGTTTTGTTTTTTATTCGAATAAGATATTAATGTGTACATGAATATTTGGAATATTGCGGATATAATTACAGGATGTCCAAAAATTGTAGGGTACCCATATAAATTTGTTTATAAGCCTTTGTTTTCTTTTCAAGAAGTTATGTTGTTGATATGTTGATTATATATTAACATAGTCATAGCTCTATGGTATCTCTTCCTATTATCCATCTTCTTTATCTATTATTCTATCTGTAAGAAATCTGATAAGAACGATAAAAATTATTGTCACAAAATAATAAAACATTTCATCAAGAGATCAATGTGTATAAGAGCAGGTATTAGTCCACCGACCTTTAGCTTTCAAATATTTCTGTAAGACGATGAAGATCACCACGGCAAACATTTTGACACTCATTTAGTCGAATTTGAGATATATCTTTGTTATCTCAACATGCAGTATCTTGCTCTTACTTTATGCAATGGAAACATATTAAGATTCTATGCCAATTATGAATACGTTAAATTCTAAACAATTTGCAAAAGTATCAGCTAAAAGTCTTAACAGATACTTGAGATATAGTCTATTTATCAAGCACATACTTCAATATATAGAAACTTCTTGGCATAATATTTCGTACGTATCGCAAGACTAAGATGATAGCTGTTTATGACGTTTTTACCATAGTTAGTCCTCAGTCAGAACTTTAAAATAATATAAGATAATAGGGAATGACAAGATTGCCGGGCTAATTAATACAACATGCATTGGTCTCATGAAACGTAAATATCACTAAGTTCAACCAGTTCCAACTAATGTGTCGAGTGTATCTTTCGATGAGTCAACCTGATATTCCAATCTTATATCATTTTGAATGTCTCATGGAGATCTGACTATGGTAAAAAAAAATCAAGAAAGATATTACTCTATCCATGAAATATGATTCACATAAAATTTATAACTGGAAGACTTTGATTGTTTTGATACTAATACGTTCGACCAATGTACCAAGTATTGATTAACTTGGCAACCTTAAACAATTATCATCTTAGTCTCAAGATATGTGCAAAATACTACGCCAAGAAAATTCTATATATTGAACTACGTGCTTGATAAATAGACTATATCTCAAGTATCCATTAAGATTTTTAGCTGATCCTTTTGCAAATTGTTTAAAATTTAACATATTCATAATTGACACAGGATATCTATATATCTTCATTGCAAAAAAGTCATCTAACATGTCATAACTGAAAACTGATGCAGAAAGTGATAGCAAGATACTGTATGTTATCATAACAAACATATATCTAAAATATGACTAAAGGAATGTGAGAATGTTTACCATAGTGAACTTCATTGTCTTACATAAATCTTGGAACGCTAAAAGTCGGTAGGTCAATATCTACTCTTATACACATTGGTCTCTCGATGAAATGTCCTATTATTGTGGGACAGTAATTCTATCGTTCTTATCAGATTTCTTACAGATAGAATAATAGATAAAGAAAGTGAAAAATAGGAAGAGATGCTAGAGAGGTATGTCTGTATTATCATATAATCAATAACATAACTTCTTGAAAAGAAAACAAACATTTATATACAAATTGATGCCAGTGTCCTATAATTTTGGGACATCCTATATATCCATATATATATATATATATATATATTGTTTATGTGAAAATTAAGGATTATACAATTAAAGTAAGTAATGACGTATTTGCTTCATTGAATACGGTACTTGAAAAGCATAAATATTCATATATACATTCAATCGTACTGTATTTTTTTTAGGTTGGATATTTGAATCACGCAATACAAGGTATTTACTAGAATAATCCTTTTCTTTTAATGCCATTGTTGGAGCGCCATCTGATGTTTTTTTTTGCTGGGTTTTTATTGCACGAAGGCACATAGAAAAGAAAAATGAGGATGATATTTTTTTATGATTCTTCCAGAATGTCTTTATCTGTTCTTTTTTTTTCTCCCTAATAGAAACTCGTCTGTTGTTAGAAGAACCAAACGGACGAGTGCAAAACTTTTTTTTCTTTTTCTTTTCTTTTTTTTTCTTCCTGGCACTATAGCGATGAATAATAATAAAAAAAATCGGCATCTGACGGTCTCAATAAACAGACAGAACAGTGCGTCTATCCGTTACTACGGCAAAGGAAAGGACCTCATGTGCTTGAGAAATGATTCGTTGTTGCTTGACTCATAATCATTCAACTTAAGCGTCAATAAAAAAAAATCTTTTACATATATTTATATATAAATATGTGGACAATCGCTTTTTAGACAAAGAAAAAAGAAATAATGTCACATCATATAAAGACAGGCTATCTTCGTTATTATTATAGTAAGTTTATTTAATTGGATTTTAATTGAAGTTGGTCTGTTTTTTTGTTTTCATAGAGGGTTTATTATCAAAAAAATGGAAAGATTTTTATTTTGTCCTTTTTGATGATTCAACATTACAATGGTATGAAAAACAAAGTGATCGAAAACCAGAAGGATCAATACGTATTCGTGATATAGCACAAAATCTTTGTGTTGGACCATATACAAGATGTTTACCAAATCGACCACCATTTCCTCGAACAACTGATGAAGCTAATCTTATTGCTTTACCACGATCTTCACCTGGACATCATAGTTCAGATATTGTATGGATTCTTTGTAATGATGTTACTCATCTCAAGTAAGAGAATTTAAAAAAAAAAACTTTATTTATTTGTCAATTTTTAGTGATTGGATGAAAGCAATCGTTTCTACAGTAATTTGATCCTATTCAATTTTGATAATGGTTTTAAATCTTTTTTTCTTATATAGTTACCACCTCCACCTCAACAACCTCCACCACCACCTTCTCAGCAATATAGTGAAGCTAGTCGACCATCTGCCCCACCATCCGGCCCTCCACCACGTATGTATCTAATTTTACCTATTTGTTTTTTTTTTGTCATAAATATTGGAATGATTCTTCTGTTTCTAGCGTATCCATCATCAAGTCCCTATTCTCAACAACAACAACAACAACGTTCGATGTATCCACAACTGCAAGGTAATCAACCACAGCAACCGTATCGTTCACCATATGGAGGTACAGGTGCATCAAATAGTCAACAGCCAAACTACCCTCATACAACAGTAGTTGTTCAACCTTCGCCCACTTATGGCAGTGGCGGAGGAGGAGGAGGAGGAGGAGGAGGTTATGGTGGCTATAGAGGAGGCGGTGGAAGTTCATTAGCTGGTGTAGGATTAGGCCTGGCTGGTGGAGCATTACTTGGTGGTAAGATCTCTAAAAACTACATTTAGATAGAATAGTTGAATTTGTTTTATTCTTAGGTGCTCTTGGTTATGCATGGGGAGGTGGATTTGGTGGTCATGGCGGTTGGGGCTATGGAATGGGACCTGGTGGACATTCTGGCGGCTATGGGTAAGTTCAAAGATATTTCTATATGTTAATCGGATCCGAAACATAATTAATTTTATTTTTTATTTCAGTGGATGGGGTGGAGGTAATGATACCACTGTTATCAATAACTAGTATGTCTAACATTGATATTTCTTATAATTGTAATGATTTATCCCATATTTTAATAGTTATGATAATGATACAACAAATAACTATAATCAAGATACAACAAATAATGATTATTCAGCATATAATGATACAAATAATCAACCAACAGATAGTTTTCAATATGATACAAATAATGGTGGTGGATCAGATGATTATGCTGGTGGTGGTGGTAAGAAAAACAAAATTTATAATTGAAGTTTTTCATGTATATTTTATAGACTACGGTGGTGATAACGATTTTGGCGGGGGCGATTATGGTGGTGGCGATTTCGGCGGTGGCGATTTCGGCGGTGGTGATTTCGGCGGTGGCGATTTTGGTGGTAAGTTGATTATATATTTTAACGATTGATATATATATATTTCTATTTAGGAGGTGATTTTGGAGGAGGCGATTGGTAAAATGTATAGACAGGCTACCAGTAATCGAATAAATAAATGCTGCTTTTTGTTATGTATTTATGTACGTAATGGTGAGAAAAATTGTATTCTATTTTTTTCTTGTTTTTGCTCATTATAATTAAACAGGCTTTTTTCCTTGTTCGTTTTATTCATTGTATATTATATATAAAATATTATTCGTTTAATATTTCATAGAAAAAAATTTTTTGTAAGATAAAAAGTATAAAAAAACAAACATTTATGAAATTTGAAAATAATTAGAAGTTTATTTATTATGGGCATTGCACTATTTGTAACATCGTTTTAAGTAGGAGCTATGATTTGGTTTTGTTTTTTGATGAAGATTTATTGTTTTGATACAGAAAAGTATATGATAAAATATCAATTCGACGTTCCGATTTTAAATTGTATTTATGTAATGTTATATTATTTTGACTATATTATTAAAAGTTTATAGATTATCGTTTAATTATTCCTTTCAAACAAGAGATGAATAAACAGAAAGAAGAATAAATCAGACGAAATAATAAAATTTTAAACTCATGATATTCAATTTTCTATTCACGTAAAATTATTAGCATCATTGTTTTTAAAGAGCAAGTCAAACTTTATGTTTAATTATCGCCGAAAGCGCTTTTTTGTTTCCCTTCGTACAAACGTACTCGATTGGTAAACAACGGGAACTCTTGTATATTGAAATAGAAACAGAAAGAAACATCTATAAATAATGAATCATCATCTATGACGTAGAACAATGAATACCAAATGGTATAAAAATCCGAGAAAATTAATGTTAAAAGACATTAGTTGTTTTATAAGCAAACTGAAAAATCATGCAAGTTAAAAGAGAAGAGAGGTCGATAACTGATGAAATTGGCATCCTATAGAAATATGATTTTCGTTATGTCAAACTCTCACTCAGGTTGTCCCAAGATGGTCACTGA